ATTAGCTACTGAAGCATGCAACATTCATTGTCTCTCCCATCCTCCATCAGCCAAATCTTGCTGTTTCTTCTCCACCTTGCTGTGCTGCTTCTGTGGCCCTTTGTGTCCTCCTGCAAGTGTTTGTCTCGTCCATCTGATCTTGTGTCTGTCTTGTCCAGTTTTCCCTGCAGTTTCTTCCTGTGTGTCTGTTTGTAGATAAAGGGGCTGAGGATCAAGTGGGTCCTCTATACAGGTTCCCCAGCCATGAACCTGCCACCAGCGGGGAGAGGCGTAGACTCCTAGCCCCCTCCATCTCCGTGTCTGTGCCTGATGAGGAGTACTATGAGCATCCTCTGTTCAGCTCAGGATGGACCACCTCTAGTGTGCTCCCCAGTGCCAGAGCGCAGAGTGCCGAGGCCCACTTAGGACAGGAGAAAGGTGAACCAAGCATGGTGCCCTTTTGCTCCTCCTCCCCAGCCTGCAGCTTTGAGCAGTCCATCATGTTCCATGTGCCTTCACGTCAGGGTGGGCGGGACAGGAACCTGTTTTTTCCACATGAAAGTGAAGTCCCTATATAGGTTGTATCCACCCAAATGCCTCAAAATTTATAAAAAGTAGTCTTCCTCCAGGCAAGTGAGTACTTCCTTTTTTAATATTACTTCAGAGAAGATGCAGAGAGAAAGAGAAAAAACAAAAATAAAATTCAATTGAAGTCTGATTTCTTTCTGCTCCTTGCAAATAAATCTCTGGGGAAGAAATATTATTTATTTACCAAAGAAGACAATCCTGAATATTATATCTTTTCCTTCTTGGAAATATAATATCACTAGAACCAGCCCTAAAGAGAATTTGCCTTTTTAGAGCTCTGTTATTGTGATAGCTCTTTAAGAGGGAAAGTTAAAGAATCTATTTAGATCAGAATAAATGTTTTGGAATGAATTTGTTCCCCCATTTCAGTTAATCATGTGTAGAAATGATGGAAACTGCCCCAGGTGACTAAAACTTGGCTCACATCAGGAGCGTTGGGCTAAAATGAAGGAAATGATTCAAAGCCTTTGTCCCTCTGGCCTTATAAAGCTGGAAGACCTAGTGTGTAATTGGCTTTGGTGAGGATAAAATAAGTAGACGATGGACTGCTATTTGTCTCATTCTAACTAGTAGTTTTGTAAAGAAAAGAAAAGTACAGCTAAAAATATTTTTGCTTAGGTGAAGAGGTTATTTTCAAATGGGGAAAATAACTCGCTTAGGTGCAGCAGAATATTTTCATCTGAGACAATGTTTAATGTTAAGGGCAGATAGTTCCAAAGCAATGAGGAATAAGCTCACCGTTACACTCCTGATAATTAACTTTTTCAGGGTCCTTTGAAAACAAAGGGTTCCAATGGCTGAGAAGCTCTGATAAAGCTTTACCCTTTTTGTGAAACTAAGCTCTTCTAACAATGTGAACTTAAGATAACTAAAAATACGGGAATTTTTTATTATTACTAGGTGCACTGTAAATAAACATGACTTAGACAAAGTGAAAAAATGGAAAGCTAAAAAGCTACGTGGCTTTAACTTGATTAGATGTTAGGAAAGACACCTGTATTTTTGAATTGTATTAAAAAAATCTATGCATTATAAAAGTTTCCTCAGTTTAGAACTGGAATTTTTAAAATTCTTCTTATCAAATTAAGTTAACAAATCAGAAGTGTCTGAGTGTTAATGTGAAAAGATAACTGAAGTAATCTGCCCACCCCCAAGGTGTTAATAGTTCTTTAAAAAGAAAATTCCTATCCATTCGCAGTCTTTTCTGCAGGGCCCTTTAAACAATGTACAATTGTTTCACAAATTTTATAAGAATCTTCCATTTGCAAAGCTACGAAACAACTCATATATTTTGTTTCAGTTTAATAAGGGATAAAGTAGGATTTACTTATTTTTACTTGTATTGAAGTGTAAATGAAAAACAAATGGGCACAGTAATTCACCACCTTTATGAGTGTGTTGTTTACATTTTAAGTACTAACATTTTTTCCACATGATATACATCTTTGTGGGGAAGGGATATTTTGGCTGTTTGGTTGCCCCTCAGTCATCTTTTCTTGGTGATTTTCTTTTGACTTGTAGAGTAAGATTTTATTGCTAATATGCATATTTCCTTTTTTAGTCTCAGAGAATACATGAACTGCACTATTGATTAAGCAATATTATGATGATAGTGTCCCACAAGAAGACTTCAGCAAATAATAAGTTTTAAACTTTACCTTCACTTATCTTTCAAAAAAGTTTGCTTACTTCTGGACTAGGGGCATGGTTCAGGTGGTAGGGCACAAGTTCAACCCCCCAGTACCATCAAATTTTTTTTATTTACTCCTTAAAATTTTTCTTTTTCTCAGGCATTGTATAATTCAGTGAAGAGAACATAAGTTGACTTATGTAGTCTTTTACTTTGGAAACATTAAATAAATTATATTTAAATAGCTTTGATGGAGTTTGCGTTAAAACTGTTAAGGCAGTTGGCTGGTATTATTTTAAAGGAAGGCATTTTTTTATTCCCAGAATTCTTTGGCAATGTTTGCACATTTTAAATAAAGCAATCAGGAATTCTTATGTAGGGGCTTCCTGCATTGGAGAAATCAGCACACAACTAACAAGTTCAAAGGCTTTTTTTTGTCATCAATTCATCTATCTTTTCACAGCCATCTGTTATCTTCATCTCTTATTTCCAGCAAGCTTTCCTCACATGTGCAACTTAACTTTCCACTAAGGGTAATCAATCCATAAAACCCTTTCAGCTCTCAATTTTTAAAATAAATAGACTTTTAATGAGATTTTAAAAGGCATTGCTATTAGCGTATTATACATCAGGATTTTCAACTGGTATTATAACATATGTTGCATTAGACTATCAATTTGCTCATCCAAATGGTAAAAGAAAATGCACCCGAGGTCCTGGTGAGGTAAATCTAATGGAGCTGAAAGTGTTCCTTGAATAATATTTCTGTCCTTTTGTGTGTTGTTCTGTGGTCATGATGTCAACATCTTTTTCATCCCTAAGAAGAAGAAACGCTTGAGGGTGCGATGGCTGAGGAAGAGAAACCTGCTGCTCTTCCTGGGAAAGAGTATGGGGCTGCTCAGTCCTCAGACCAAGTCCAGGGCCTCAGTGAGGGCCCTCTGGAGTCTAGTGCAGAGGTCCAGATAGTTCCTGAAGACAGTGCCCTGGCAGGGGCCCCACATGAGAAAAGTGTAAAAGAGGTCACGGAGGTGTCTCCAGAAGTAAAAACCCCTTCCTCTGCCAAGGAAGGTGTGTCTTTCTCAGGATTTGCATGTTGTGTTGTAAATGATCTCTCCAGTGGCTTACCAACCTGATGCCTTTCCAACGCTGTTTCATCGCTGGGTCTTCTCATGATCACAAGACCCCCATTTTGGGCTTCATGAGCAGAGTGTGGCTTGCTCAGGCGCTGTGTGGCAGCTTGGTTGTTCCCCTGCTGCAGCTGATTCCTGGTTGTCCTTTGCCATGATACAATACGCTTTGCAGCAGGCTGATGATGCTTATGTGAGCTTTTGATTTGCCCTCCCTCTTCATCTCAAATGTTTGCCAGTCACATTGCTAATACATGTATATTTTTGTTTTTATTTTTTGGGTCAGCAATTCATATGCTTTTCTTTCAAGTCCTACAGTTGGATTTTGGCACATAGAGGCTTAAATGATAGAAACGCTTTTGTTTGCAACTGCAATGTGCTATATTTTTTGCTTCAACAAATACTGGTTTGGTTACCTTAACAGATCCTGTTGATACTTCTCATATCATTTTCTCTCCATAGCAGCCAACCCCTTGATCACCATCATATCTCTTGAGTTTTCATCCATCTAACCTTTATTACAAGTTCATAAAATATTTCTTTTCTATTATTACAACAGGACACATGATATGTAAGGTAATGATGACCCATATAGTTGTTCTTTGAGAGATAGTTGTATTTTATGATTTTTTCCTAAGATATTTTCCAGATAACTACATTTAGCTCTGATGACCATAGCAAAGTACCTTTGATCTTAAAACACAAGCAGGGGCTCTAAAGCCTTTTGGATTGGCATATAAATAAAAACAAGGATATGTCATTTACTTTCTGTGAAGCATCTCTGAAGACAATACTGGTCAGTGCTTCACCAGTTGATTAAATTCCAAAGAAAGAGATCAGGACCATGGAAAGAAAGGCATTTTAATAGTTGACTCTTGAAAAATTTGTTACTCATCTGACTTCCTAGTATTAATAGTATAATTCAGATTTTCTTACATCTATCATACAAACTAAGTAATGAATAGGAATGAAGAATTTTGAATACATGATGGAAATTACCTTGTGAATTCTTAGATCATATCATACAAATTTGATAGCAAGTGCTTACTTATTTTCCTGAAATTTCAGAATGATTTCTAAAAATCATACCATTAATTTTCAGTGCCCCAAAATTGGTCCTGACATTTATTGATCAAGTTATCTGAACTATTAATACTTGTATCATTATGAATTACTTGTCCTTTTGCCCATGGCCTACTAATTTATTTTCAAATGAGAAAATCTATGAAAAAAATTCAGTAGAAATCAATCTTTATTCATATTTAGTCCTTAATATATATTCTGTTATACCCTAACATCAGCTACTTACCCAAAAATGCATTAATTTATAGAAAGTACATGAATTTTCTTTTCTACTCTAAATACACATTACATAGTGTTAAGGAGAAAACAACCAAATAAATTCAAAAAGAACAAATGAATAACTCAAAGTACACTGTTCTTGTAATACCTGTACACATTAATTTCTAATAGGAGTTAGTTCATTTTGGTAGTAGTACACATACATCTCAGCCCTGACATTTTCATATTGATTTTTAAATGGGTAGCATGCTTGCATGTTCCATAGCTTTTCCTTTTACCTTACCATTCATTTATCATCTCAAAGTATAATTTTAAGCTTACTGCCTGAAAGCCCTTGCCTATTATTTGTTTAAAAATCAACCCAATTACTTCAGATTTACTTACAGCCTCGAAGATGGAGTTTCATGATCAACAGGAATTGACTCCCTCGACAGCTGAGCCTTCAGACATGAAGGAAAAAGAGTCAAAGATGCAAAGTAAGCCTGGTGAAGATCTTAAACATGCTGCCTTAGTTTCTCAGCCAGAGACAACTAAAACCTCCCCTGATAAAAAAGACATCCAAGGCACAGAAGTAGAAAAAGCACCTCCTGCTCTGTTTGGGCACACTCTTGGTGCCAGCCTTGAAGAAAAACCGAAAACAGAACCCAGCCTAGTAATACCTGGCATTGGCCTTTCTGCAGAGCCTCCAGTCCCCAAAGAACAAAAAGACTGGTTCATTGAAATGCCGATGGAAACAAAAAAGGATGAGTGGGGTTTAGCTGCTCCAATGTCTCCTGGTCCCCTGACACCCATGAGGGAAAAAGATGTACTTGAGGATATCCCAAGGTGGGAAGGGAAACAATTTGATTCTCCCATGCCAAGTCCCTTTCAAGGCGGAAGCTTCACTCTTCCTTTAGACATCATGAAGAATGAAATAGTAACGGAAGTATCACCCTTTGCCCCTGTCCTCTTACAACCAGAAGACAAAAAATCTCTGCAAGAAACTGGTAGTCCAGTTACTACCAAAGAGAGTTCTAAAGTTGAGGAGCCACACGAGGATAAACCTGACAAAATGGCAGAAATTTCAGCCTCCGAGGCAATTATCTTACCCAAAGATGCTCATGGTCCAGCTGTGGAAGAATACATCATGGAGAACATTTTAGGGGAAGAAAAGGAGACCACAAGTCAAGAGAAAAAAGAGACTCCCATCCCTAGTGGACAGGAACCGACACTTACTGAAAAGGAACCTCAGCCAAAGCTTGAAGAAAAAGTGACCATTTCTGATAAAGAAGCTGCACCAAAAGAGAATGAACCCCCAAAACAGAGAGATGAAGAAATAAGTGTGATTCAGCCCTCCACGGAGCTCTCTTCCTCAAAAGAAGAACAGAAAGACCAAGAGTATACCACAGATATGTTAAAACAGGACTCCTTCCCTGCAAGTTTGGAGCCAGCTTTTACAGATTCAGCCATGACCTCCAAGACCTCGGAAAAAGTCACAACTGAGCCAGCTGTAGTAAGTGAAAAGAGTGCATCCCAGGAACTTTTTGAGGAGAAAGTTGCTGGCAAAGATAAGGTTGAAGGAGTTGAGGCTGCAACATCTGCTGAGGTTGAAATGCCATTTTATGAAGATAAGTCAGGAATGTCTAAGTACTTTGAAACATCTGCCTTGAAAGAAGAAACGACAAAAAGCATTGAGCTGGGCAGTGATTACTATGAACTGAGTGACACAAGAGAAAGTGCCCGTGAGTCCACTGATACCGTACCTTCCGTGCACCCAAATGGTGACAAGGAATTTCAAGCAGGAAAAGAATCCCAGCCCAGTGCTCCAGTACAAGAAGCAGGGTACAGCACTCTTGCTCAGAGTTACCCATCTGATTTACCCGAAGAACCCAGTTCTCCTCAAGAGAGGATGTTCACTATCGATCCAAAAGTATATGGGGAGAAAAGGGACCTCCACAGTAAGAATAAGGATGATCTGACACTTAGCAGAAGCTTAGGGCTTGGTGGTAGATCTGCAATAGAACAAAGAAGCATGTCAATCAATTTGCCCATGTCTTGCCTGGATTCCATAGCCCTTGGGTTTAACTTTGGCCGGGGCCATGATCTTTCTCCTCTGGCTTCTGATATTCTAACCAACACTAGTGGAAGTATGGATGAAGGGGATGATTACCTCCCAGCCACCACACCTGCAGTGGATAAAGCCCCTTGCTTCCCAACAGAAAGCAAAGAGGAAGAGGAAAAGATAGAGGAAGACAAAGCTACTACTACTTCACAGCAAAGTGCTCAAGTTGAGACATCCTGTGAGTCACCTTCCTAGCCAAAGATTATTACAAAAATGGTACGGTCATGGCCCCTGATCTGCCTGAAATGCTAGATCTCGCAGGCACTAGGTCCAGGTTAGCTTCTGTGAGTGCTGATGCTGAGGTTGCCAGGCGGAAATCGGTCCCATCAGAGACCATGATTGAGGAGAGCAGTACTGGCTTGGCACCTGTAACTGATGAAAACCACGTCATTGTGAAAACAGACAGTCAGCTCGAAGACCTGGGATACTGTGTGTTCAATAAATACACAGTCCCACTCCCATCACCTGTTCAAGACAGTGAGAACTTATCAGGAGAGAGTGGTTCCTTTTATGAAGGAACTGATGATAAAGTTCGAAGGGATTTGGCCACAGACCTGTCATTGATTGAAGTGAAACTGGCAGCTGCCGGAAGAGTCAAAGATGAGTTCAGTGCTGAGAAAGAAGTATCATCACCTACCCCTGGTGACAAATCTGAACTGGGTAGGGAGTTTGACCAGGACAGAAAAGCTAATGACAAGCTGGATACCGTCCTAGAGAAGAGTGAAGAGCATGCTGACTCAAAAGAACTTGCCAAGGAAACAGAAGAGGCTGGTGCTGAAGTCGAGATACTTGGATCAGGAGTAACCTTTGATCAAGCTTCCACCAAAGAACTGACAATAGCAAAAGAGACATCACCTGAGAAAGCCGAGAAAGGTCTTAGTTCAGTGCCAGAGGTAGCTGAGGTAGAACTATCCAAAAAGGCTGAACAAGGACTGGATTTTGCCTCAAAGAAAGCTGATGAGGGTCAGTTAGATGTTAAAATCAGTGACTTTGGACAGATGGCTGCAGGGCTGAATGTAGATGTGGAAAAGGCCACAGAGCTTCAACTCGAGGCTACACAGGAGCTGACCCCTTCATCCAAAGCACCTCAGGTGGCAGATGCATTCATGGGTGTTGAACCTGGCCACGTGAAAGAAAGTGCCAAAGTTAATGAGACAGAAGTCAAAGAGAAGGTGGCGAAGCCTGACTTGGTGCACCAGGAGGCTGTAGACAAAGAGGAGTCTTACGAGTCTAGCGGTGAGCATGAAAGCCTCACCATGGAGTCCTTGAAACCTGATGAAGGCAAGAAGGAAACATCTCCAGAGTCATCTCTAATTCAAGATGAAATCGCCATCAAATTGTCTGTGGAAATCCCTTGCCCACCTGCTGTTTCAGAGGCTGATTCAGCCACAGATGAGAGAACTGATGTCCAGATGGAATTTATTCAGCCACCAGAGGAAGAAAGCAAAGAGACCCCAGATGTATCTGTCATGCCCTCTGATGTTCCCCAGCCTCAGCTTGAAGCAATTGTGTCTGAACCAGCAGAAGCTCAGAGTGAGGAAGAAGAGATAGAAGCCCAGGGAGACTATGATAAACTGCTCTTCCGTTCAGACACCCTTCAGATTACCGACCTGGGTGTCCCAGGGGGCCGGGAGGAGTTTGTGGAGACCTGCCCAGGTGAACACAAAGGAGTGATTGAATCTGTGGTGACCATTGAGGATGATTTCATCACTGTAGTGCAAACCACAACTGATGACGGGGAGTCAGGATCTCACAGCGTCCGGTTCGCAGCCCTAGAGCAGCTCGAGGTGGAAAGACCATCCCCTCATGATGAAGAAGAACTTGAAGTAGAAGTGGCAGCCGAAGCCCAGGCAGAACCCAAGGAGGGCTCCCCAGAGGCTCCAGCTTCCCCTGAAAGAGAAGAGGTGGCCTTCTCTGAATATAAGACAGAAACCTGTGATGATTACAAAGACGAGACTACCATCGATGACTCCATCATGGATGCTGACAGCCTGTGGGTGGACACACAAGGTGTGCTTTTTTTTGTTGTTGTTGTTTTGTTAAATCTTCTACTCCCAAATCAAACCCAATAACCTAATGGGATTTTTTTCACCTTTAAACATTTTAAGATATCCCTTTATCTCTGTATTTTCTATTTTGTTAAGTATACAAAGAATCTTGTACATTTGTTGCTAATGCTTGTGCTGTTGTTGTTGTCATGATTTGCTTTGATCCACAGATGATGATAGGAGCATCATGACAGAACAGTTAGAAACTATTCCTAAAGAGGAGAAAGCTGAAAAAGAAGCTCGGAGACCATCTCTCGAGAAACATAGAAAAGAAAAGCCTTTTAAAACCGGGAGAGGCAGAATTTCCACTCCTGAAAGAAAAATAGCTAAAAAGGAGCCTAGCACAGTCTCCAGGGATGAAGTGAGAAGGAAAAAAGGTTCATTTAACAATCACTTTTTAAAAAAATGTTTTGGAAGTAATTTGTTATTATTCTTTTGTAGAAGAAACTGCCTAACCATGGTAACTGATTAACTTATGCAATTTTCATTCGGTTCTATTCCAAATGTTTATTTTTTTTCCTGATGGTATGCTTTTTGTGTTTTCTTATTCATAGCAGTTTATAAGAAGGCTGAACTTGCTAAAAAAACAGAAGTTCAGGCCCACTCTCCCTCCAGGAAATTCATTTTAAAACCTGCTATCAAATATACTAGACCAACTCATCTCTCCTGTGTTAAGCGGAAAACGACAGGTGACTGCTCAATTCTGCAATGTGGCTGGCAAACATAGACATGTTTTTTTCTTTTAATCTCATTACTGTAGCAGCTTCTTCATTTTGTTTTTCCTCCAAGAATTTTAGCAGTCATGAACAATTTTGCTATTAAGTGTCTTGTATCATTATTCTTTTTTTTTCCCTCCCTGCAGAAGAGGTCATGACCATCTGTTTCTTTGTCATGCTCAGACATAACAGTGCGTGATTGTATCTTGGCATTGTGCTCTAGTCTCACGTTCTGGGGATTCCTATTTTCATTCTGTGTGTTTGGTTAGACGATGGCGATGAATTTAACCGTGGTATGCATTCTCATTATTTTGCTTATTTATCTCCCTCATGCTGAAATTCATATATATTTGTCCTATTTTCTACGTTGTTCCTGCCAAATCTGTTACTGATGTTGATGAATTTACTGAAAACCACCAAGAATGCGTAGTGGTTTAGACATCGAAAATGAACAGAAAGAAGGTTAAAATTGTGGTTTGCAAAATTATCTTGCTTTAGATGAAAAAAAAACGAAAGAAAAGGAAATGGTCTTGTAATCCCATCAGATATTATTCCTCATATCCATAATTAGGAAGACTTTCAATCAATAGCTATACTCTATCTCTTAATTGACATTTTATCATTGGAATTTTTCTAAATGTGTTGATCCAAACAGCTTAATTTTCTAATATAACTCAATATGCAAAATTCTAATGTAAAACTCCTTTTCTCTGAAGAGAAAGTTAAGTTAGAAATAAACAGGTTTCCTGTAATCCCAACCCTCAGGAGGATTCTATATTTGGACATCAACCTGGGCTACATAGCAAGACCCTGTTTCAAAAAAGAAAAAAAGTGAAAAACAAAAAGAAATAAACAGTTATGTTTCCATTTTATTACCTACTTGTTTCTTGGTTCCCTCCAAATGTACACATTTATTAAGTTTAAAAAACTGATAGAACAAATGAATGAAGCACATTAAAATCATAATTTAAAAGCCATACCACTACCTGTGTTACAAACTTTATTTTTTAGTTTCATTGCTGAGTATTTGTGTGTACAATTATGCTAGAGTAATCCTAATTTACAATTTATCTTATTTTAGCATTTAAGTGGTATACCTATAGTCTACAAAATGTCATATTACCACTTCAAGAAGGAATATTTTCCATTATATATTATAAATAAATCTTTATAAACCTTTAAATGGTTTTAAAGGTACACACTTGTGTCTGTGAGAAAAAGATATCAGGGTAATCAATAGTTTCATAACAACCACTAAAACTCCCAACTGTTGTTTGCTTTATTATTTTTATATTTTTTGACTTTTTGAGATGGGGTCTCGCTATCTAGCTCAGGCTGGTCTCAAATTCTAAATCCTCCTGCCTAAGCCTCCCAAGTGTTAGGATTACAGGCACGCATCACCACACCTAGCCCAAATTTCAAGTACTTTTGTATTTGTGTTCTTTACACACATTTGTGTTCAAATACATATCATGTGTTTTCCTTTAAGAATAAGTATCTAGAATGAGGAATGCCTCTAAATTAGAAGTTAGGAATTAATACATCTCTCAAGTCTTATTGCATGCTTTAATTAGTTCATTTTCTTATGTATTTAACCTCATCAAACTTGGAATTTTTCTTTTAGTTAAACAAATGCTTGGACATGCAGAATCTCCTAGTTTGGGCATTAAAAAATTCTATTTCTAACTGAAAAGATTAAAGAAGTCATCAGGAATGTGGGCTTTCAGAGGAAATGTGAAATACTTCAGTTATGTCACTGGTACTCAATTTACCACACTGAAGCAAATTGCCTTTTTAGAATTCATTCTTTAAAAGAAACATAGGATCTTTGGACGAAGTAGAGTCTTCCCTTATTCTAGTATAATATTAAGAGACTCTGGCAGAAAGCATAAACCAAACAGTATCATTGGTTTGAAGCAAGCTACATATATATGTCACAGGAATTAGCGATCCATTGGAGAAGCAGTAGGAAGGAATCATTTTCTCTGCTTCTTTGAAAAGTCAATTTTAGAATCCGTAAATAATGTTATTAGCCAGGACCAAATAGCATATTGTATGCAGTTATTATTTTAAGAGCTGCACACAGCATAAGGAACCTTTTTTAGAGATAATTTGGAGGGCAAGTATTCCCCTACACACCGGGGGGGGGGAGTTTCATTCTTATAAAGAAGATTAAGGAGAAAGTAAAGACCCAAGCTTGAGTATTTTATTTTCTGTGCTTACTTTCAAATACTGTGGTTTTGCCAAACACAAAGAATTGTCTTAAATTGTGAGATTTTTTAAGTCAAGTCAGGTAAGTCATCAGCACAAAATATGCTGGAAGTGATGGAGTTTAAAATGGAACCCAGAAGGGAAAAGCAGCCCCAAGAGAAACAACAGTAACAGATATGGTAATAATTTCATATGAGAAGTGCATGTGTAGAACACATTCTGTATTTACCAAATCTAAAATTCCTCTTGTATTTTCTGTCCTTGAAAAGCTATTTTTCTTCCCTTCTTAAGTATTTTCATATCAAATGAGTATGTCAGTTCATATGTGAAGTGAAGGGGTGCAGGGGCAAAGGAACATTTCGCTGATCCTGACAGTCTGGGACATAAAATGCAGAAATATCTGTAGGTATGCCAGTGGCTTCCAGAACAAGAGGGTTTGGAAGTCCCTATTAGTACTCCTTATATATCATGCCAACCCTAGAAATCAATAAGCTTCCTGTTGCTGAAATTCTGCAGCATTCATTCACATTGCTATTCTGTGACTTCTGCTCCAAAGAACCTATCTGCATGTAGTAGAGATTCAGAGGTATGCCGATAACCCACAGAAAATGATCTGGTGTGCTCACCTGTGCTTTGGTAGACACTGGGATTTGTTAACAAGCACCCTCAATAGTTGGAGCCACCTGCCTTGTTATTGTTATCCGGGTTTCTCCAGTTATTGAATTTGAGCCTCAAAAGGCACAAAACTTTGTTTTGCACTAGTGTTTTCAATATCCAAAAGGTCTTGAAAAATTCTTTTGTATGGTTTTTAGCCACTAAGTTTGGGGTTGTTTGTGTCTTTCAACAGCAACAGGAGGTGAATCAACTCAGACTCCCAGTGCTTTTAAACAGGCAAAGGACAAAGTCTCTGTGAGTAACATAAGTTTTTCCATGTTCTTCATTTGAAGTTTCTCTTGATATTAGTGGCAGTGTCTTGATAACTTTAGATATTTTTTAGGCACCAGCTGTTTACTGTTCATTTACCCAGCATGATTTTTAGGAGCAACCAGGCAGGGGTTAACACTTTCTGGAATGATGAGTGGTGGAAGTTAGTGAGGACACAGCTGGGCTGCCTCTTCATTCATTAGATAAAAACACAAAAAGTAGCACAATGATTTGGCAAAACATGAGGAAGAGCAATTCATTTACTTTTCATAGAACCAAATTTATAGTCATCATAATCAGCACAACTTTTATATTTTCATTGTTTTTTTATTAAAAACAAGAAATCAGACGAGATAAAACAGTGCAAATGAGCAAAGAGAAGTCAGTCAGTTATAACTCCCTTAAATGGTAGCTAGCTACCATTTTAATATGAAATCTTTATTTTTTCTATACATTTATAGATTTAATAACAAATATGGAAACACTATGAATTTTTAAACTATAAACATCATGAATAATCATTATAATTATTTCAGTGACAATATAACATTGTATTTTACTTAGTTTGACATTCAAACTATTTTAATAACATTGCCATGAAGAAATTTTTGCCTATGGTCATTTCTTATTAGTGAAATTATTGTTTCAAGAAAAATGTGCATATTTTAAGATTTTGCTACATATTGCCAAAGTTGCATTTATTTGCCAAGTTGTGGTGATAAGTATATTCTTGTTTAATGGGGTTCTATTAATGATTTCTAATTTTTTCATATATTTATAAATCTTTTTCTTTTTGAATTTTACTATTTATTTATTTATTGGCAGTATTGGTGCATGAATTCAGAACCCTATACTTGTTAGGCAAGTGCTCTATTGCTTGAACCATGCCTCCCAGCCTAATGGTGTGTTATTTAAATCACAATTCTTTGTTTACCCTTCTAAAAACTAATAAGATTTTAGATGTACATAATTCCCAATCATGGCCAAACTTTTGATGATCATCTCAAATATGAGGGTCTTTATTTTGATTTTTTATTTTTATATGTTTGCAGAGATATTCCTGAACACATGGCAGGTAGTAGAATCCATTTATTGCTTTGAGTACAATGTAATTTCAAGATATGTATCTCTTTACCTTTGCTTTCTGATAGAAAACAAGTAATTTGTCATGTCCAAATCTTGAACCTTTATTAACTCTATCATATTCTTCTTCCTAGGTATTAATTGTCCAAAAATAAGGGGGTGATAAAAATTTCTATATCATAATTTAGTTGTGAAAACTAAATTTAGTAAATTTGTAAAGCAACAGTAAATATATAAAACAGTTTAATCCCTAAGATATAGTATTCATTCAATAAATAGCAATATTTGTCAGTTACTTTTCTTATTTGAAATGTACATGTTTTCAATAGCAGATACAGAAAAATAAGTCTTTTTCTAAGTTTTTCTCCTTTAAGAAAAAAAATTTAGGTTGAATACCAGTGGCTCATGCCTATAATCCTAGCTACTCAGTAGGCAGAGATCAGGAGGATCATGGTTCAAGCCAGTCCCAGCAAATACTTCATGAGACCCTATCTCAAAAATACGCATCACAAAAAAGGGCTGGCAGAGTGGCTCAAGTTGAAGGCCCTGAGTTAAAACCATAGTACTGAAAAAAAAAAAATTTAAGTGAACATTGTTTAGAAAACCTTTAGATATTATCAGGTCTCTTAGTCTTCACATAACTCAGTAAGATTGGCATTTAATGCTTACACTTGGAAAAGAAACTACAACATTATCTGCCATAAGATTAACATTTTCCTTGTAAATAAATGTCCTCTCATCTTTCTGAGGGAAAGGTTCATCCACCATCCTTGATTTTGCTTATGTATCGTCATATTTTTCCTTCTTATTATATCATTCTCTTAAGTTTCCCAAAGCCTCAAGATTAACTCTTGCATGATTTATCTCTGCTATTCAGTACAGTTGTCTGATTTTTCAATTGCTTTTTATTTTCCAGTGCTGGGGGACTAACCCAGGCTGCAGAGCATACTAGGCAAGTTCTGTGCCACTGAGCTGCATCCCCAGACCTTTCAACTGCTCTTTATTATGAACCTGACTCACCCGTGATCTTTCATTTCATGTGGGGTTCTTTCTGGTAGTGGTAGTCTCTTACTTAGCATTAGTAGTTGTCTTTCTTAATCAGAGGCAATCCAGTTACTTCATTCTTCTTTCCTAGATCACATTTTTGAAATTCACTCTTTTGTGGGTAGGATCAATCAAAAAAGAATGACTTGTAGCAACCCAATTACACTTCCCACTCCAGGTACTGGGTCTGTAAAAAAAGAAGGGAAGTGCTCAATCTGTATATGCTTATGTCTCTGTTGAAATAGCTGTGGAGGTTAAAGCTTGAGATAAAACTCTCAGTTTCATCTGCTATTTTTGTAACAGCAAAAACAAATTAATTATTTGAAGATAATAATTTCCTAGGCTTGTCATTCTTTTCTGTATTTTTAATGGAACCTCTCAGGAGACATGTAGCATGCCATTGTAATTGTCTCCAAATGCCATCAGTCCAACCCACTCACACCTGAAGTCTACCCAGGGGTTATACACACCAGTAAATTAAGTCTTGTGATTTTTATGGATAATATCCTCAGTGCTGAATTTCCTTTTTAATATTTGTAACACATCATACGAATTGTCATCTGTGCATAAAAATCTTACTAGTACTATACTATAATTTGATCTCCAGTTTGTGTTTTGCTCATTAATGATCTCATTATATATACAAACTGCAGTTTTTCTGATTGAGCATAGATTGTCTGAAAATAAATTTTCTCAGACCTTAAGATAAAATTTTCTATTACTAAGCCTCAAATATACCATATTCTCACATTCTTGAAACATGATCAAGCTATGAATTATATTGATATCTTAAAGGTTATAACTTATTAGAGGAACAATTTCAGAAAACTTTCAAGATGGACCTATGGATTACTTAAAGACCTTATAAATAGAACCCAAGAACAATATTTTATCTATATTTTGTTATCACTTAAGACCTATAAATAAAATCATAAAGCAACTCAGAATTTAACCAGTCAGTATCATCCTTTAAAACATCAAAAAGAGAGATTTGTTAATTGTCATTGTAATATTCTTTCTACCTTAAGGCTTATTTTTTTAAAAAGTATTTCTCTTGGCAGTACATCCTTGAAGATGTAACTTATGATAGGGGGCTTTTATTACATCTCTGACAGTGAAATTATTTCACTTACAACAATACTAGCAAAAAGCTTATAATTTCCAAAGAGTTGTCTGTGTGCCAACTGTCACTCATTAGAACCCAGTGGGTCCTAAGCATATTTCTCCAGTCTCTACAAAGACTCAGAAACAGAAATAACTATAATGTTCACTTTTAAATTAAAGTCACTGAAAATAATATGCATTAAAAATATACACTTAAATGTATAAGATTATGTGATTGATATACACATAAGGCAGAAATTGTTTTCACAAACCTTCAATAGCTCATGTCTCAGAATAATCCAAATCTATTGCAGAGAAAACAAGAACATCTTAAAAATGGTGCTCTTTTCCTGAACAATTCGCTTCAGAAGAAAGGGGACCACAACAGCCTCATAGGCTCCCTATGCCTCTTCCCACCCAATGTAACCAATGCCACCCAAACTCTAGCTTTGTCCTTTAATGGTAGGAGATCTCAGCCCCATCTAGCTTCTTCCTACAAATGGTCTCTGTCGCCTCTCTTTCCCAGGGCTAATTACAGTGATTCCATTTCCAGTCATATCTTCTGTTTCTCTGGGTAGGTTTATAAAGTTACAGATTCTTATATTAAACTAATGGTCTCAGAATTCCACAAGCCAATTCCTCTATGTCTAAGTAAGGTTCTTTCTTCCATCTTTCCACCATCCATTCACTGACCCAACTTTATTTAACATTTATTCATTGTGTTTCTTCTATTTACTGAGCATAAATAATCACAACATTTGGAAGTAAAGGAGAGCAAATAACATGGATACCTGTTCTAGACCTTATGAATACAAAGTCAAATGGTTTAGCATCATTTTTATATGCCTATGTGCATTTTTAATGAGTATTAAGTTAGTTCCAGATAGAATGAGGTATCCCATAAAAATCATTTGTTCTCACATATTCATCTATCATGGATTATAATAATTTATTATTTGTTTTTATCAAAAGTAGACATTTGATTTCTTATGTTTATCCTTGTTTTAAATTTTCCTTTTATTTCATAGTTTAATTTATTTTGTATTTTTGTTTGTTTTCTTTCATGGATAGATTTTTACCTTGCCAAAGATTCCTGCTTTGCAGGGTAGCACAAAGTCCCCAAGACACAGCTCAGCCTACCCTAGCATGACTAAAAAGGCTACATGTTCTGGCAGGTTTTTAATACAGCCCACCTTAGAGGGCTCAACAGACCATTTGCCATACTCAGAATCAGGGGACAAGGTAAGGCAGCAGGTCAATAAAAGGTTCAGAAAAGAATATAATTTGGAAGAAGACTGTATGACATAACTCAGGAACTGTATGAAAGCAAAGATGTGAAATTCTAAAGTATTTGACATTTAAACAGTAGATGCTATTAAAAGCAAAAGCATTTGAAAAGTTTTACAAATCATCCTCCTAGTAGAAAAAGGTATGGAAATTATGTCTCTTTTGAAATATAATATCCATTATTAATGTATGAGTTATTTGATTATACTAAAATATCAAATATGAACTAACAAAGATATATTCATTCTACATTCATTACATAATGCTACATATGGAATAGGTAGCACCACATGATCTAATATCAACAAACTGTATTGTATATAAAATTTTTTTTCATTTTGTTCTTTCTTTTTCATTTTTTCTTGTTTTTACATAATAGACAATTTAGACTCACTATCAGAAACATCAGGGATTAATGCCACCTCTAGCACCTACAAACTCCATGATCTTGAAAAAAATTACATTAACTCATTAAACCTATTTCCTCAGCTTTAAAATGTGCTTAATTGGAGCGAGCTTTTTCTGACTCCTGTTCCTACCGACCTAACCAGGTTAACTGGGGGTGACAGAGGATGCAGAAAGGACAAACTATAGACAGACATGTATAAAGTTGGGGTCAGGTGTGCTGCACCAGGTGCTTGGATGGAGATGCACAACAGCCTCATTGCTTCTTTTCTCTAATTACTCTTCTTTTACTTTGCTTCTTTTCTCTATCTTTATTCTTTAAGGCTTTACAGTTCTTTAAAACTTTGCTTCTAAAGTCTTTCTTTGAAACATTGCTTCTTTTCTATTCTTTTAGGCCTCTTTCCTTAGACTCACACTGTCCCATGTTTTCTTTAGATTTCTTAAAGTCTTGGTGCTCAGGCTTGCAAACAACAGCAGCCACTTCTAAAAATTGTATTAGCATAACTCTTAAAGTCTCAGTCCTTAGACTCACACTGTTCCATGTTTTCTTTTGCTTTGCTTTTCTAAAGGCTATGTATAAAGTTCTCAGTGCAGTCTTGCACTGTCCCATGTTCCCTTTAATCTCTAGCATAACTCAGCAGCCCACCAGTAGTGTCATTCTCACAAGCAGCCCATCAATCAATCCAACCCCCATCAAAAAACCCTTCCATCAAAAAAACCTCACATCCTTCAGCGAGTCTTTTATATCCAGTGGTAAACAAGGAGGTGGAGCTACAGTTCTCAGGGAGGGGGCATGACACTGTAACAAGAGAAACCTGCTTCTCTGAATGTAAACGACTTAGGAAACGCAGCTGTGCTGCATCTGCCTCTCACTCTCTTTAAATTCTCACAGGCTTCTCACAATCCGCTCCCCACACTTGATATGTTGTGGTGAAAATGAAATCATAGGAATATTATGTATGCACTACCATGGCCAGTCCTCTCTGATTAATAAATTATAATGCTAATGAAGATTTTTCAGTAAAATTGTTAATTTGCCAAAGATGGCTTGAGTAAATTCATTTTACCCAAATTCTGCTTTAGAACTTAAACTTCACAATTTTCAGAACTTATTTGAAAATATATTTTTGTGAAACTAGGCAAATATGAAATCTTTCTAAATTATGAAGGAGAAATGCTTATTAGTGCTTATTGGTGATATAAGCTGAAAGAAATTTGTCAACAGCACAAGAGGAAAAATAATCAGAGGAGAGTAATCACTTCATGTAATTACAATAAAGAATCACAAGAACTGTCTGTTTGTTTTCCCGAATCAGGATGGAGTAACCAAGAGCCCAGAAAAGCGCTCTTCTCTCCCAAGACCTTCCTCCATTCTCCCTCCTCGCAGGGGTGTATCAGGAGACAGAGAGGAGAACTCCTTCTCCCTCAACAGTTCCATCTCCTCATCAGCTCGACGGACTACCAGTAGGTTTATTTTTGTTTGGCTTCCTTTTTAATATTTTTTTTAATCCCTTAAGTGTAAGAGAGCATATTATGGACTTAGATGTTACAATGTTCAAATAAAACATTAAAATCAGATTATCTTGGCCTTGAGGATCAGGAAATCCGTACTATAAATGGTTTCAAAATAGCTCTTTGAATTAAAACAATTGATGGAGCAAATGGTAACAAATTGCTTTATTATCTACTAAATAAGTTTGGGATGGTAATTTCATAAGAATGTGTTTTCTCTGTTTATTCAAATTTAGAGCAAAAAAAGAAACTTCTGAAGAAATAATTAATAGAGAAACTAACTCATATTTTTTGTACATTTATATGGGCACAACATTTTTTAGAATTATGAGTCTTACAGACTAAATGGAAAGTCAAAAATCAAAACCTAACATCCTGCTCAATTTGCTACGAATTTGCATTCCAAATGAGCTAGAAACATAGCATGTTCTGTGCTTCAGTTCTTTTGATTGATGGTCCATAATGAACTGACTGGAAATTATAACAATTTAAGTAATGTTCCAGTCATTACACACTTGTAGGTTGCATTGCTGCTAAGACTAACACATGGATTCAAGTCATTTGCTTGTTTTTTTAGTCAACAAAAATAGCTACCATTTATTAAGCACATATAAATGCAAAACACTTAAGATACATTTTTTTATTCTATTTAATTAACAGTGCTGGTGGTTAATTGCTAATAACCTCAATTCAATTGATAAGAAAACTTACCTTATGGAGAGGATAACTTGTTAAGTAGTACACAGCTAGTAAATGGTTGAATTTGGTTTGCAGCCCACTGACAACTTCACCACCTGTGCTCTTACTGTCATCTCTACATTTACATGGAGGAAATAGTATTAGAGAAATGCTCTGTAAAATCACTTAGAAAACCACACCTGAGTCATTTAAAAACCACTATAAGATGCCAGAAATTGCAAGCCACTATCACAATTATATAGTTGATTTCATCACTTGATTTTTAAAGAATGTAGTAATAATTAACATACATCAAATACAATTATTTTGCATGACACTTAAAGTGTTTTTGCCTATAATGAGAATTTTTATTGTAATTAGAGCAATTGTGCCCAAAACCACTTCATTTCATGGAGTATTCACATTCTTTGAAGCCTGTTCTTGGAACATTTTGATATCACCAATATTCTTTTTTACTATAGCAAACATTTTTCAAATAAAATAGAAGACGTGTAAGAGGACTAGGGGAGAGGTCCAGGGGAAAGACTTTAACTTCAAATATCTGGCATTGGAATTAGACATCAACCTCAACCCTAAGGATGATGAGATAAGACAAAGGCAGCAAGGCTTCCCTAAGGAACATCTTAAATTATGTTAGTATGTGTTGCTATAGAAACAAAATGGCACTATCTCCATAAATCCACTTCTCTAAGCCAGGGTGTTCTGCCTTTTAAAATGTATCTGTATATAAATTGCTTTTTAAAATATTCAGAGCCAATGCCAATTTGACTTTCTAGCTTTACTTATGTTCACAACCATATTGCAGTTTTTCATTTGGTAATAAGCATAACCAATACTCCGATACTCTAAGGACATTATACCTGTTTTAGTTTTATATAGCAATAGCTAAAAGACAATTAGAAGAGCAAGCAATTTGCTCACTCCCATTCTTCTACCATTTCCTTAACTGCACACAGGAATGTTCTGTCATTTTATGCAACTATTGAAAAGATTTGAAGGAAACAATTCTATACAGAAAGCATTTAGCCCAGGAGAAGGGAAAGGCATCGTCATTGAGTTGACAAGATAAATAGCAAAGTTTAATAAAGTAACTTGCAAATGTCTTTAAAAATCATGTTATTGTCTTAAACTTACCTCTTCAACTTCAGGACAAATAGGAAACACTTTTATTTTGATGAGTACAACATAATTTATTACAATAAAAATGTTCATATGTATTGGACAACAGTGTAAAACCTTAATATTTAAGATTTATTCATTTTCCAGACATAACACAAACATTCCTCTTTTATGAAGCTTAAAACCATTTTCTACAAGTATAGAAACCATATTACTTTAAAAAAATCTCCAATAGTAAAATTTGCTATCCACATCCAGAATATTGCTTCATCTCAGTCTTTATGTAGAAAAAAAAAATCCTCAGCACACTTCAATAAATTCTGAATCTAATCCATACCACTAAAAAAATATGTTGATGGGGGACAGGGAGGAGAAATTACACAAACAATGTATGCACATATGAATAAATAAAAAAATATGTTGAGCACCTGCTATATTCATCCTCCATGAAAGTCACCCAGGTACATAGACAAATAATACAGAGAAAAATCTCTCTTCCCAGAATATCTCCACTATTCAAAGCTGGAGAAGTCACAGAGAAACCATTTGAGGAAGAAATAAGGTTTGTGGAGAGATTTTTCAGAAGGATATAGTGACAGGGTTATGCCTACATTAAAAACATAGTCCATAAACAAACCAGGAACAAGAAGGCAAAGGCCACATAGCACATGATGGTATCATTCTGTTCTTGAAATGTCATTTTTTGTGGAAAGCAAGGAGAAAAAGCTCAGAATCCACATGGATTTGTCACTTTAGTCTTCTTGTATTCCATTTCATATTTTCAGTTGAAGAGTCCAACTATGTTGTGCCCCAAAGTTAAAGGACGCCCTGTGATTTCTCTCTTAATACTTGAAAAGTGTTCACTGAAAGTGGAGTAAAATTGTTCTCTGTTTCTTCCTACTGAACCTAAACCAATGGTTAGATTTATGCTGTCTGTAGATCACAATTATCTAAAAAGCTCTCTCATAAGCTCATTTCTTAAACTATTCAGCAAAGACTAAATGACCCCTTTCAGGAAGATTATAAATTGCATTTGAGACCTTTCAGATTGCTTTCACTTTAGTGATTTTAAACTTAAGTCATATATTTTCCCCCTATGAAATTTCAGAAGATCCATTGATTTTATATACTGTATCTATTTCAGCAGTAAAAAAGCTGAATCAAGCCTTTTCAATAACATACAAGTTATAAATTAAATTCAAGTGCTTTTTAAAAATGTAAATTCTGAGAAGCTAAATATTGTATCTGGTTTAGAATCTAAATAACATCTAAGTAAAGAACCCCAGTGTCCTCATTTCTTAATTAAAAGTAGTAAGATCTGCCCGTAACTGTTGTGCATTTTTGTTTGTATCACATTGTTTGATATCCACAAAAGACCTTTGAAATCTACATGTTGTACTCGTCTTTATATCATTCTTATTACAGAAAATCATTTGAAACAGCATTTAAAACATTCAAAAAAGATAATTTGGAAAAAAAATATACAGGATATGGGAGAGGGGAGGTTAAAATAAACAATGAGGCTGAGTTCAACTGGAAGCAAAGCAATTCATCTCCAAAGACTCTGTATCATTAACAGCACAGGATTTTTGTTTGACCCCAAACTATCAGCTAGTGACAAAAGCAGAAGAGAAAACACAATGGTGAACACAGTGTTACAACATACCAATTTTCTAAAGAGAACTAGATCTTTTTAGTGTGAAGCACTGAGCTAAGTTTCCTTATACAGGGAATAAATGACACAGTACAGCAAAGCCTGACATGTGCAACTCACATTACAGTATTCCTCAATCTAAGCTGGGGGGGTAACATTGAAACACGATTCAAAAAGAACCCACTTACTCAGGCTGAAACCATGTGATCTATGTTGTTTATACACCTGGATCTCAAGAGTGAACTTACTCACAGAGAGGAATGACTAACCCACATGTAGTTCAGGAATCTTCCCGTGAGCAAGAATCTCTGCAGCCCAGGAAGCACAGACTGTGTTTTCAGCTAAAGGAAACTCATATACCTTCACAATCATGCATGTAAAGAAAATAGTTTGGAAACATTCATAATGAGAGATAGGGAGAATAAATCAAGTTGTCCTTGTGCTCATAGAAGCACATGCTCAAAAGAAAGTCACCAAGTTCTGAACCTCAAGGAAGGAGGCTCTTACCTTTTTGAGCATTCTTACCATAATCTATAAATACTCCCAAATGCCTTAGGAACTAAACATATTTTGAGTTCCAGTAATGAATGGGAAGAAGGGTAACTTGAGGAATACTTTCGAAAGCTGTAATTTGGTTTTTGTCTTATTTGCTTGTTAACATAGGGTCAGAGCCAATTCGCAGAGCAGGAAAAAGCGGCACCTCAACCCCCACTACTCCTGGATCCACTGCCATCACTCCTGGCACCCCACCAAGTTACTCTTCACGCACCCCAGGCACTCCTGGAACCCCCAGCTACCCCAGGACCCCTCACACACCAGGAACCCCCAAATCTGCCATCCTAGTGCCCAGTGAGAAGAAAGTCGCCATCATTCGTACTCCTCCAAAGTCTCCTGCTACTCCCAAGCAACTTCGTCTTATTAACCAACCACTGCCAGACCTGAAGAATGTCAAATCCAAAATTGGATCGACAGACAACATCAAATACCAGCCCAAAGGGGGACAGGTAAGAATTGCATGGATACATATTTGCTGCCAGAAATAAAATCTCACTCATTATTAAGTTGCCTTCCTCAGGTTATAAGCTAACAATTCATAAAACACAAGGGAGGCGTTACAGAGATACTGTTTATGAATCACTGCTGAGTCTAGATTATATCTGAGGAATCTAACTTATAAAATCTAGTGAAAATCAGATGGTCTGGCCTTTCATTCTGGTCATTATTGGACGACAATTGGTTTAACTACATAGCAGAATCTTTAGTTGATTTCTAAAGAGTCTATACCTTTGTGGGTTTTAACCTAAGAGATTAAAGTTACACTTCTGATATGGATTTAAGTTTTCTATTTTACATTTGCATCATGAGCTTATTAGAGTATTTTTAGTGATTACAGTTTTATCTCCTTTTTTAGAAGGATGTCCTATGACATCAGTCATTTCCTCATGTTCACTCCAAAATCAGAGCATTGTTCTTCAGAAGTTACTTCTCTGGCTACTATTGCCTAAGTATTGCAAAGGGCGTGTATTTATGTTGATAATAAAGAGTGAGCTCTATGACTCTTATGAATGAAATTGTAGCCTTGGAATTTCTAATTAAGATAGTTGTATTACATAAAGTTATTAGAAAGATTCACTTATAACTGCAATTCCAGAGCAAATACTCAATCTTTTCCAAGCAGGGTTTTTTGAGTCCTGCCTTGGCCTGAACTTTGCTGTACTCTGTGTTTGGACAAGGCCTGCAAGGAAGCAATACAAATATTATTTAAATATTTTCCTTATAATATTGATCTACCCATAGGATTGGTCAACTTGCTTCAAGAGAAACAGAGGAAACATTTACCCTTGAAAGAGAACAAAAGTATTGACTTCTTTGTATAGGAACAAACTTGTAATGCCCTGTCAATATTCCAAGAATGCTTTTCCCTTTTAACCTGAGTATTTTTTTCTGCCATTCTTTTTCTTGTGTCTTTATTTTCTGCCCCTGACTTATCATAGATCTCCTTCATGGCAAGGAAAATCTACTCCCAGGCAGGTTTAGAAAAAAGAGTTTGCCAAAATGTAAAATTTTCAAGCGTCCCTGCTCATCAAAGTACAATTCTGGGTTGTTCCTTCTTTATAGCAAACATGCTTGCTGTCTCATAATTCTGTTCAACAAAGCCCAAGGAGTTAAGAAAAAAATCAAGAAATGGGCTGGGAAGGAAGGGAGCAATATGCCCCTTTCAGAATAACTGTAATATTCTATAGTAATATGATCATACAAAGATATACTTTCATAAAAATGTTATGAAACATTGGACCATAAGAAACTTTTAAAGCAGAAACATCCAAATTTCTAACAAATTTAACCATGTAATCCAAAAAAACTCATACTGTTCTTACATTCATCACGTTTTGACATTCAAGAAAAGGAAATATTTTGGGCTTTTTGGAAATATCCACATGTTACATTATTTTTATATTTATATATAATAATTTAGAAAACTAATTTGAATAAGATCAGTTTAGTACTGAATGGAAAGTTTTTCATCATAACATTTGATGAGAAAGATCTCATAAAATAAAGTAACTCAGTTTTCTCTTTTTTATAAATATCCCATGTCCTATATTCTCCTTAACTAAATAGGGGGTTTTCTACTACTTATATCCTAGAAAAATATTGATACTTAAAAGAATCTATTTCTTCTTAGAGTCACAAGGAAATAGAAGTCCTTTCTAAGATATTGTACCGAAACTAAAAAGAAAATACGATGGAGCTGGGCAGAGTGGCTGTAATCCTAACTACTTGGGAGGCAGAGATTGAGAGGATTGCAGTTTGAGGCCAGCCAGGGCAAAATGTTCCTGAGACCCCCATCTCAAAGAATAAAAGCTGGGCTTGGTGGACTATGCCTGTCATCCCAGCTACAAGGGGAAGCCGAGATCAGAGGATCAAGATACAGGCCAGTCCAGGCATAAATAGTAGAACCTATTCAAATAAAAGAAAATACATGAAAGGGGAAATATGTGTTGATAAAATCTGACATGAAAATTTTGTAATATAGATTTTGTTCAAAGAATTTCTTAAAGCGAAGAAGCAAGAAGAGCGGGTTTAGCTTTAACTTTGCAGGAATCTCTAAGATAAAATTAATCCAAGAAAATATGAGGATATAGATTTTTCTAATTTTAATTGATTTCCATTATATTTGGTAATTCATAAAGTTGATATAAAAGCATCTTATTCTGTTGCTATCAGTGAAAACTGACCTTTGGGATTGTAGGAGGTAAGGACTACTAAAGAGCAAGAACAGAAATAGCCTAAAAAAATCACAGTGTCATTTACAGAAAATTTCTCCTTTCATTTGGCGAGTGTTAACTTGCTGCAGTGTTAGCCTATCTCAGCATCAGATGAGTTGGAAAAATCTGCACCAGTGCAGTTATAAAGTGACCTTTGTTGCAGAAGCAAAAGTATCTCCTCACAAGATAAGAAACAGATGGAAAGTATTTGTCCTCTATTTTGTAATAGATGGTGTAAATGCATTTAAATTGCAAGAAGAAAAGAATGGGAAAATTGATACCCATTGCAATTGAACTATCTCTGTAGGAAAAATATATGTCTCAACACTTTAGCACGATCTGCCTTAAAAGACTCCTTGCAGTGTATGGTCTTTTCAAATACAGGAAATTAGGAAGGGCTCTTTTTGTGTGTATGTTGAACTGGAGGGCTCAGCTGGATTTTTAGAGTTCCTGCTTTATAGAATAATTGGAAAATAATTTTATGTTAGGGCTTTGTAGAAATAATATGTTAAAGATCTTTACGACCTGATTGAGCATCTATAATGGAGACTGTTCAGTGGTGTGTTGCTCTCAAATGTAAATTGATTATCCTAGAATATTTGAGTGGACAGCGGCCAACCCAAAACTATTGAAGAGGACAGAGGAATAACTGTGTTTTGTTCAGAAGCCAGATTTTGAAATAGCAAAACATGGCAACATAATAACAACTTCCCAAGTTGGGAACCTTTATTATTTGCCCCCAATTTGAGCATTTATTGTTCTCCTGTACAGATAAGTTTTATGCTTCTAGCTCTTATCTCTTTTGTTAAAGTTCAGTTTTATATTGGCAGAGAAGCTCAGCTTAGTGGTTTAGTTCAGTGAGGCAAATCAGTACCTAATGAAATAGATAAGCTAGTTGAAGATACAATGAGCTTTACAAAAAGCAATGAAGTTAATCTCAGCTAAAACACAAATTCATTCCACTGGAAAGAACATATGTAATCATATTTTCTCTGAAGATACTGAGGTTTGTTCATATAACTCAGTATAGATAAAACTGTCTTATGAGCTGCAGACATAGCTCAGGTGTAGAGTACCTGTCTAACAAGTATAAGGTCCTGAGTTCAAAGTCCATACTGCCAAAAGAAAATTAGACAACTTGATGAATGGTGTTTTTTACCTTTTCTCTATATAAATCAGACTTTTTAGAGGGACTTTGATTTATATGGAATATCCCTACATGTTTTTGATAGGTTTCTTGTTTTTGTTTCATCAACCTTGTGAAGATCATTATAAAAACCCAAGTTTTGTTCCTTTGTACTAGTTGAGTAGTTAGACATTACTGACAAGGCCATTTCACAGCTCATTGGTGAGCTTGGTTAGTGAGAGAATGAGCTCTACAAGACCATATCAATGGATTTGATTGGTTGTCTTGTGAATTGTATACTTTTGCCTTCAGTCACAGCCACAGTTGCCATTCTCAGAGCTGTCAGACTAAAGTTAGTGGTATATTCAAGCCAGATACTCCTGGTTAAAGAAGAAGCAGTGTTAATCTGAAATATAAAGAACCTTTTAGAATTTATCAGACTGTTACCTTCCCAGATAGAGTTGTCATAGTATCTTTAAAAGAATCTCTTTAGCTAAATCCACTAGGCTAGAACCTATGAAGTATATTGCTACATTCTAATAAAGCAATCTAGTTTCAATCTCTGAATTCTGAATGGATCCATTGAATTTAAAGATATTGGAGTTATCTATACTCTGCACTACCCTAGTGTAAGATATCTTCTCTCTTGTTGGTATCACTACAATAGTCATTACCCGGTCTCCTTGTGTCTGTTCTTTTCTTCATCTGATGTACTGTCTATGCTATCACAAAGCTTCTCACTCACATTTGTAATTAAACATTCCATTGTATAATACATTACTTATTGTCTATCTTGTCTCACCTACAAGCATACATAACCCCCATAAACTCAGAGATGAGGCCCATCATGTCTTCAGGGTTCTACACATTATAGATGTTCAATAAATATTCATCAATGAAAGTTGAATGAATGCAGTACACCATATTCAAATAGAAATGCATTCTTCCTAACGACATTGCTGAATAAGCGGTGAATGCTTTATGCCATTGGAATTACTACTGAAAGAAACTTCCTAAGTTTGAACCACAGTAAAATTTGGCTTAAAGAATTATGAGTCAGGATTTAAGAACTGAATTCTTAGACCATCTCCTCTATTAAAATATTGTGTGACATTACATACTAATGTCTCTGGCACTTAGGTTTCTTATTTGTAGAATAGAGGCAACAAAATAATACTTATTTTTATAAATAGCACCATTTCATGTAAATAGGCTATGAGCTTGTTTTAAGCTCTTCTTCATGGTTCTACTTAGAGTATGATAGTTTTTTGCACTATATCATCAAAAAACATGCATTTGGTCATTCTAATGAACTCCATATGTATTTTGCCACAAAGAACAAGCTGAAGTTGAGTAAAAAAGCAATGTTTTAAACAAGGAGTGTAATGGAGAAGAGAGAGTGATAGAAAAGGAAGAATGAAGGAATAGAACTAGTAAAATATAGACTGGAATCTCTTTTGTACTTTCTTATAGAGTTTTAGGCATTATCCTCAGACATTTTTGTCTTTTACATGCTAGTTGAAGAGTTTGCTTTCAACTTTATATTCAAGTAAGAAAATGTAATTAATTCTGAAGACAACTAATAAATTATAGTGAAACAGGATTTTCC